TTTAAGCAGAAGATACAGACAGGAAAGGACAGTTTTTTTAGGAGAAACACTTCTGTAATTTGTGTACTTTTTACATGAAATTTTAAGAACCAAATCACTAAGTAGGCTAGTACTGAAGAACTGCAGAAAAAAAACCCAGGGCTTGTGGGGTGGCACACGCTACTTGTCCAGGTGTGAAGCTATGCGGCCACCTTACTGTCTGCGAACGGTGACATCCACCACGCAAGCCACTGCAGACCCACGACCCTGGACACTCACCTGTGCCTGGAATCTGAGGCCCATAAGGAAACAGAAATAGGGTTCACACTTGGAGACACAGCATCCCGAGAAGGCCTTCCACTCACAACAGCTACAGGGTGGTTGTACCAGCTCACAGTAAACCATCAAGTATTACCCAGCCCAATACCCCTAGACTCCAATTTAACACATATGCCAGGGCAATGTCATCCAAAGTGAGCAATTTTCCCCAAAAAAAGTTGTTTAGTGGCCAATACTTAGTGCTGAGCCTGCCAGCTGCTCTTCTGTCCGCTGCTACAGAAAACAGAATTGAAACAGAGAAGATCAAAGAGCGCTTTTGCAAGGCACAAGCACCAAAGCCTGAGCAGCACATGCAGTGGTTACAGTTCAAAAACACGGACAGCTGATGCCTGGTGCACTGGAAGGTCTGTTTTCTTCTCTTGGAAAGCTGATGAGCAGGGAAGCTCGCAGAGCGGCGGGCCAGCCAACTCAACGGCACGCCAGCTCTGATCTCCTTTCCCAGCTGCGTACACAGAGAAACTGCAGAACACAAATGCCAGAGGAGAAAAAGGAAAGCTCCAGTTCTTCTCAGACCACAAGAACAATGATGTTTAAGAGCAAAGATTCTGGCAGGGCAGCAGAAAGGAAGAGCTGTCCCAAAGAGCCGACTGAAGAAATTGTGTTGTTTTAGTCAGGAGCCATTGAGGCAAGTGAGGAAGAAGAAACAGGCTATAAGGTTAGTTCTTCCGTAATGGCACCCGGACTGGATTTACTGCCTCAGGTGTTTTCTAACGAGATCAGAAACAAAAACTGTCAAATACCAAAGTTGCGCCTAAAATCTATTCTTTGTAAATTAGGCTTCCTAACAGGAAGGTTTCCTAGGTTTCCTCTAGAAGGCTTGATTTCCCAAAAATAACACCAGACAGGAGTATGATTTGCCCCTCTTGTGATTATTATTCGATAACTGTATTCGCAGTAACCAGGTTGAGATGAAATATTTTTTTACTAGGGGTAACAAACTCATGAGGACAGTTACATCCTTCCAGATACATGGAGAATGGCTGGGCGTGTAGTTTGTAACATTCATACAATTCTGGGAAAGCCTTCTCCCCACACACTTTTTTTAAAAAAAACCCAAGCAAAACTAACAAATCAAGTTTTGTCCTTTCTCAGCTGGATTCAGCTGTGATGCTGCGAAAAGGACCAGAGAGCAGTATCATGTCAGAGTATTTTGCTCCTGTAGCCAGCACAGCACATGGATTGCTTTCTCTGTAGCAGGGACCTCTGCTAAGCATCTCTGGCAGGAAAGAAAAAATACTCGACCCTGCCTAACAGAGAAAGACATACAGGTACCAGCAATACACACCTGTACATCCTTCAAACTCTGCCTCAAACGTCATGATTTAAAATTTTGTAGATCTTATTTTTAAAAACAAAGGAAAGATAAAATGGAGAATCTTTCCTGATAGTGCAGAAGAGATGTCCACAAGAAAACCAGCACGGTCACACTGGTATATTACATTTGGAGCTGGTGTGCCATGTAAAGTTACAAAATATTATTTGTCCAGCAAATAAAGCTGAGGGTGTTCATGCTTGTGGGCAGGTTTCAAACACCACACACACGAGGTGCACTAATGCCTGCCTGTCAGTGCAAAACGTACCATTTCCCAGAGATGTTCCTTCTAGTAATTCTCAGTTCCTGTTTTCCCCTTCAATTCTTCCCCTCCCAAAAAAGCTTTATTTTCTTCAGGAATCTATAACAGCTTAACACTTGTTGTGATAAAACGCTAGCAGGAAACGTTGTTTAGTATGCTAAGATTATCCAGATTTTAGACACAGTTCAAAATATCTAGATCCACAAGAGTATACACCAGTGTAGAGCGAGGGAAATTCATCTCCCCACTCTTGGTACGGAAAGGCCCAAACTGGCAGCCTAATCTGGAAGGTCATTTCTGATGACTGTACCGAGATGGCAACATGGGTAGCCAAGATGCAGGTTCTTCAGCAACATCCACTGGGTTCTATATGGACTGGACAAAGTTCTTCCCCACAAACCCTATACAAGTGATAGTTCTGAGGAGAGGGAAGCAGCAGAGTGGAGAGCAAGAACCCTGGCACACTCTAGGCTCAAATCCGTGGATTAGACTAGTGGTCACTGGTAATGAAACAGCAGAGTTTTCACTATATAAAATTTATAAATTTATTTTTTTGTAAAAATCCAAAGAGCACGAAGACATCTCACTCAAAATACTGGTAAATCAAACCACACTTAGAAAAATGAAAGCTGATTTTATTATCTTATCCACAGCCAATCATTTGACATGAACATGCATACGTAATTTTGCTACGCACACACCACAGTTTAACGTTAGTTATTAAAGGTTAAACATACAACATACACCCTTACAAAAATGAGTCAAAATGCAAACGTAACTTTTAAACAAAACAGTTTTTACTCATTTAAAAAAACCTTTGTGTTGGGTACCATTTTGTACAAACACAGTTAATTTAAACAAATCTGCTTTTAGTTTCCTCATGGTTGCACATGAAAATAAGCTGCAATAGAAAATGAAGTCGTCAAGGGATTTTTAAATAGCAGAAGTAGGCAGTCTCGCCATGCAGAAGAAGCAATATTAAATATTAGTTTTTCAAAAAAAGAAAAAACCACAAGTTAAAAAATATTTAGTTCAAGTCACAAATCTTTCCCCAGTACAGAGAAATCCAAATGCAACGCATAATTAGCTGCCACTTAGGATGGCTGTTCTGAAAAGTAGAAATACTTTCCAGAACTGATAATTTTCATTGATTTGGCACAGAAAAGAAGTCTGAGCTTACTTAAGAACAAGAAAGTGATTAAAAAAAAGGGTAAACAGGAAGAGAAAAAATAAAAAGCAAGAATGAACAAGATAGTAGTTGCAATCACTAAAAAAAAAATCTGTGCATCTCAGTCATTGCAGAATACTGTCTGTCTACAGCAGGTGCGAATTCCAGGTAACTGTTATTGCAACATGGATTTAACTTGCTTGGAGGTAGTCTCATCATTCAAATGCTTTGTTGTGTACCTGAACACAGAAACAAAAAGCAAGTTGAGAAGAGCGTAGCTGCTACTTTGCTTTGCCTTAAAATATGTAATTTCTTTGTTTATGGCTCAAGCTGACTGTACAAAGCCCTCCGCCACGGATCACCACCCGCTCCGCAGTTCCCAAGTACCCAAATCAGATGTTCTGATCAGAAAACGCTGTTAACAATCAGAACGATAACAAAGCAGCCTCGCACCGAGGGGAGTTACAAATAAGCCTCGGCTGGATGTTGGCTTTCCTGCTCATATGCCCCTTCACAGCAAACTCCTGCTACCACTTGTGATGGCTCATGATCAACAAGACTAACTCAGAGGTCTATGTCCATAGGAAACATCTTCAAATAAAACATGGCTTCAGAAACTTCTCTTCAAAACTTCCAGTGAGCAAACCTTTCTAAGATCCCTCAATGAGAATGGATTTAATCACATTTCAGCCTAATTTCCTGTTTAGTTAAGTAACTGTGCTCCTAAACCCAAAGAGTATATATATGTGTTTATTTCAGTCCATTTCTCCTTCAAAATTCCTTAGGTCATTAGCACATTTTTAAATCACTGCAAAAAACTTAGGTCATCCCTTACTTTAAAAGAAAGTACTGCATATCCTCAACATTGGCTTCTTTGTACGCTTAGTTTCCCTGATCTTCCTTCCCTAACTGTAATCTGAAAGTAAAAACTTATTCTGTAATTTAAATCTAACATGTTAAATTAGCACTTTCATTGTTATCCACAACTGCAGTGATATTTCAGTTGTCCACCTGAAGAATATACAATGACTTTTTGTTTTGGAAATTAATATCAATACAGATTTCGGCACTTTCTGGTAATTTATACTTTCCTCAAACAAGAGGCTTAAGGTTTTCTAAAATCCTGAAAAGTTATTGCACTTGCTATTCTGCCCATGTGAAAAAGCTGAATATGATGACGATACTCATATGAATTTCAAATTACAAACACTGATCTCACTGCAAAACCCACACCACCTTTCATTTGTTTTTAAAATTCATTACCTATCTCTTGAGAGAAGACAAGAACTTTGAACACTCCTCCAGAATCAAAGACTGAGATTTGGACTTAATTTCTCATGACATCATCTCGAATCTGCTTTCAGCACACACGCACGTAGAAGTTCACATCTGCACCTCTTCCTAACAATTCCAAATGTGATTTAAAAAAGATTCAAATACCCTACCTAAACGAGTAACCAAACGTATGAAGCCAGGACTGTTAAGCACGTGTTGATGAAGCAGGTTGGTGCAGTGAAAGGTCAGCACGACAGCACAGACTGAATTTACACCAAAGCCAGGTTGGATGAGGCTTTGGGCAGCCTGGTGTAGTGGAGGATTTCCCTGCCCATGGCCGGGGGGTTGGAACTAGATGATCTTTGAGGTCCCTTCCAACCCAAACCATTCTATGATCCTATGATTCTACACTGCTGGCTACGAAATAACCTACAACGGAGTGAGAACTTGAACTACACTTTCTATGTACTTCAATAGTGTCAACCACGATGGGGAAAAAAATGTCGTACCAGGAAAGATCTGTGTTTGTTTGTAGCTGCAACCACAACAAATTAGTGAGAAAATAAATGCTAATACAGCATTTTCCCTTTGGAAGCTTGTGTTTTTACTGATCGCCATCTCAAAAACTGATCACATCCAGGAGGCTCACAGATTAACAACAAAATGATTTAGGCATGGAAATACTCACATGAAGTCGCAAATTAAGCCCAGATTTATTTTTAATTCTTTAGCTAATACTCTGAAAAAATTCTGTAAGTGAAACCACTTACAATACCATATTATTTCCCTTCTTACCACGTCTTTACACGAAAATAAGGGCAAATGAAATTCAAGCAGTTTCACTACAGGTAAGAAAAACAAAGTACAACTGCACACTTTCAGGCAAGATAAACTAAAGCTTCCACGTTTCCAAGTGAGTGCATGAATAACAACCCCCAGCCACAGTTAACCGTTCCCAAAGCAATACGATACTTTTTCAAGTAAGGACTAGAATGAAGCCTTCACCTGCCCATCCCAATTTGGCTCTTCTTGCCACTCCTCTGATGCTGGACGCCCGTATGAAGAACATGTTCATGACTACAGACACAGCTTTATGACGCAGACTAGCAGTTTTTAGATTTCTATACAGAGTTATTAAATTTTCTTTACCTAATTAACCTGGTAGCTTCTCGTCTTCTCTGTTCGACAGCAAAAACATTGAGACTCTTGCCTAAAGTACTTCCCTACAAATACTTTGTGAAAGAACAATTTCTAGCTACATACCAAAAAGCTATCTGCCTTACAAGTCTGAAACCATCTGTGAAACAAAAATCACGTGAAACTGCTCTTATGTTCCACTAATAGTAAATGAAATAATTAAGCCATAGTCAAACCACACGGAGCTGAGGATACGGTCAACACAAACTAATCCAGCCATTTCTTTGGAAAGGTGGCACAAGTCGCAGTGCACGTGCTGCAGCTGCTCATTTGCTTGTGTGGTGGCTCAGTCAGTAGATGTGGTCACAGTTAACTTCTAGTTAGCTTTCAGAATGTATTATACTTGGCCATCAGTTTTAAACTTCAGGTACAACGTCTACTCTGTCATAGAATCATAGAATGGTTTGGGTTGGAAGGGACCTCAAAGATCATCTAGTTCCAACTCCCCTGCCATAGGCAGGGGAACCCTCCGCTACACCAGGTTGCCCAAAGCCTCATCCAACCTGGCCTTGAACACTACCAGGGATGGGGCATCTACAACTTCTCTGGGCAACCTGGCCCACTGCCTCACCACCCTCTGAGTGAAAAATTTCTTCCTTATATCTAATCGAAATCTGCCCTCTTTCAGCTTAAATCCATTGCCCCTTGTCCTATCACTACACACCCTTGTAAAAAGTCCCTCTCCAGCTTTCCTGTAGGCCCCCTTTAAGTACTGGAAGGCTGCAATAAGATCACCCCGGAGCCTTCTCTTCTCCAGGCTGAACAGCCGCAACTCTCTCAGCCTGTCTTCAGAGAAGAGGTGCTCCAGCCCTTGGATCATCTTTGTGGCCCTCCTCTGGACCCGCCCCAGCAGCTCCATGTCTTTCATGTGTCCTGTCACACTTACTTCTACAGACTCCAAAAGCCCGCAATAACCACATCCACCTTTTACCTGTAACACTGACCAAATACTTTGCCGCTGACGGAAATGTCCTAGACAATTTATGAAAAGTCACGTAAAAATATTTCAAATAAAAGAATAAGAGTACCTGAGAGCATTTAGAAGGCCTTCTACACTGTTAGGAGGCTGGTCTTTAAGAACTTTGATGCATCCTTTCATCTAGGAGTTAAAAAAATTATACAGGTTTTTTCCATGCTAATATCTTTTAAGTTTACAGAAGCGTTTTGCATTCAGTTTGTCAGAGAGAAAAAAATAAATATTTAAAAATTGTAGCAGTGTAAAGACATTTTCTTGATATTAGAAAGGAATTAAGCTTTCAGTATTACGTTTTCTTAGGACAGAATGGCTTAGCTACTTAATATTCTGCTTATCTTAAGACTATGCAACTTTGATGTCAAACCCTGCTTTACTGATCTGAAAAAAAAAGGAACTGTAAACAAAAATCTTTGTGCATCATAAATCCATTAAGAATGATTATGCTCAGCCAGTGAAGCACTGACAAACTCTTAACTAATACAATGGGATTAATAGTCCATTTGAAACGATCCAAAGCAGCACACAGTAACAGCACGTATTCCAGACCTACCAACCAACAGCAGGAAGTTAAAGACTTGACGACTGGTGGATGACAAACCTGGCTTTTTAACCAGACAGCGAGGCACAAGCCAGATGCCATTGTCATTTCCAGTCATTCTGATGTGGGTCCTTCGACACAACCACTGTTTACCAGTACTTCATGACACTACTTGAACTTCATCAAAACAGATTTTTCAGGACCTAACAATGACCATTTACTCATCTGAAGGCCTGGTTTGTATTTCTCATTGCTTATGTATACGGCTTGCTAACAGCTACCACTATCCATTTAGCATCAATCCAAAGTGTACATCTGCTGTTGGAACCTGGGGGACAGAAAATATAAATACTCAAAAGATTATTTAGTAACAATAAAGCTTACGTCAATTTTTGAAGTTTTGGCAAAAGCGCCCACCGGATGCACGTGGTCATAGAGTATGATGACACCCACCATTACCCTCAGACAGAATGATACTGTTTCCTCATTTGTAAACCTGCTTCTATATTCACTGTAATTTAAAAACACAGATTGTTATATATCAAACACAAGACAAGAATACATACAAGTAAAGCCTGAAATAAGATTAAAAAGAAAAATCCTACTATAAATCCTCAGAGAAAAACAAAACAAAACAGCCACAACAAAACAAACAAAAACCCCAATACCCACCAACCGCACAGACTTTTGAGACTTTTCCTTTTTCCTTTCAATAACCTGCCTACAAGTCAGAACCCATTCTAAGCAGCGGTATCTGGAGATGAACAAAGACTCTCAAACCTAAGATAGCACCCTGCTGCTACACTATTCCAGGTATTGAGGTTTTTTTTCCAGGAAAAAAAAAAAAAAAGATTAAAACTATACCTACTGACTTTGCTTTCAATGCTTCCTACCCTTTCCATGCCACTCTACCACACATGCAACCCAAACTTCTGACACAGGGAAAAAAAAAGGCAAAATAAAAAATAAAGCTTAATGAACAATGCTTAACCTCTTTCTTGAGTGGGACAGACCACTCCTAAGAAGAGTAAGAATATTTACGTCTGGAGCTCTTAAGCTCCAAAACAAATGTACTGTGGTACTTGGACAAAAACTTAGTTAAAAAGACACACCTCAAGCCTGAGACATTTTACCAACGGGAACCTATTCAGTACCCAGAAGAAACTGATAAATCCCAAAGTTTAGTTTGACTTTTTGTTGATACTCAGTGCGTCTCAAATTTACAGCAGACAATAGACTGCCTCCATGGCTAGAAGTCGTCTCGCAATTCCCCAGGCAGGGGCGCTGCAATTTTGTTACAGTCACCAGCCAAGCCAGCTTGCAAGGAGGTACCATCCAATGCATTGCCCACAAGCCCTCTTTCAGGAGGCCCGAGGCAGTCACGCTCAAATAGTGTATTTTCCTGAATTATACATAAGAAAACCATTTATAAAGAGTGCCAAGAGGCTGCCTGGCTTTCACAGCCATTCTATTTTTAAATATTAATATGTTCAGAAAAGTAGACTGCATGATTAGCATGGCTAAGAAAATGAGACAAGTTAGTTTCATGTCAAGGTTAAAAACTAAGTTGGTAAAAAGATGACACCATAGCTCCTAATTACTCCAATTATATTTCTTTCACCTTATGCATCACAAGTCATGTCTTAAACACGGAGAGGGTTCATACACAATACCAGTACTGTTCATACTCACGGGGTTTCCAGCATGACCCTGCACACACTAGCCATGGTGCTTAAGCAATCTGTAGTATTCTCTATTGGTAAATTTTTATTCTGCGAAAGAAGAGAAACAGTTTCCCATTCAATTATTGTGAAATATTATACTACAAAACTTAAATCAGTGATATGCTGGCATGTCAATGTGGAGGAAAAAAACCTCAATGCTACCATGTTAAGTCAGGTAGCCTTGCACTGGATTTTAGTAACTTTAAAATAAAGATTAACAACTTAAAGAACAGGGTCTACCACATGAGTTTTGCTTGTTTATAGTTAGAGAAATATACCACTGACAGTATAGACTTTTTGGAAGTTTTAAAGGAATCATCTAACCTGTTCTCTAAAGGCAGAAGTTTCTATAGTCAAATATCTGCATCTGCAGCAATAGTAAGACTTAAAATTGTTGCAGACAAACACCTCAAAGGTAAAACAAGAGGCCATTTTTCTCAAGGCATTTCAAGTGTAAAGCAGAACTTAGGAAAAAACATGAAAAGACCAATGTATTTTTGCATTAATCATGTAATGTACAATTATTATGTACAAAATAGTGTGCATTCTTTGCACATAAGACAAAAACCATCACAGTTATCAGAAGACAAGCACGATACTTGTAGTGACTGGATTTTAGCAATAATATTTATTGAGGTAGTTAAGGACAAATACAGATGTATTCCAACATTTTAACACTTTTCCAGTTCAGGTTCCTCCTCTCTTCTATGAAAATGTAAGTATATTTGACTTCACACAGCGAAAACGAGAGTGTCTTGGGAAGGAGGAAAGGAAGCTACATTTCCATTCTGTTCCCTGTTTCAAGCACAGAGAATCAAGCTGTCTCCCTTCCAATTTTCTCCAGTTTCTGCTCTAAACCATCACCAAAATGCAGAAAACCTCTCCTACCTCCCTTGAGGAAAGCTATCACTACCAACGTTGTAATACTATTCATTAACTTTTTGCAAGGTAACTACAGGGTGGCTAGCTGAACTTACTCTAACCTCTGTGGCATCAGAGAAAGATATTTTATGTTTCTTCAGACTCCAAGAAACAAGTTTGATTTCTAGATGCCAGGTTAAGTCTGGCAGAAGAGTTTTGTGTTCCAAAATTACGTCCGGCCCCGCAGTGCTTTGAAGTGCACTATCCAAGCCATAAATTTATACTCTTACCTCCGACACAAACTTTGTTGTAGCATCACTTAAGGTTTTCAACATTGGCGTTGCTTCAGCGTAAAATAAAGACATTCTGTTTGCCAACTCATTATTTACTTCATTTTCTCCCTCTGCCTATAAAACAGAAGGAAAAAAGAATTTAGTTGTTCTGTACATGAAAAAGATAAGCGGTAGGTAGCATAAGATTACATTTTGTCTCATCCAAGGGTTACCTACTGGGACATTGTTAATCCTCATACGGCTCAGAGTTCTTCTGTAGTAGCTGAAGTCATTCTGTATAGCAGGATTTGTCATCTATATAGATATAGAAGCAAAAGAGTTGTGACAAACTCACAAAAAATATAAGGGCAAGTTTTCATAATATATAATACTGAGAACAAGAAAGTATTCATCCTTCTGAGTAAAAAGGCCTGTGACGCGTTGGGAAGTGATATGTAGAACAAAGGTCTCTGGTTAAATTCTCAGACTTTTCAGAACAAGATCTAACAAGAAGAATAAAAGGAGTTATCTCCTAAATAGGAGTTTGAAATTAGTAGGTTGAAAAAAAAATGGCTCTGCTAGTTTGACTCAAAGGATCAGGCCAGCAAATTAATATCATTTCAGCTTAGTTCTTTGCACATCAGCAAGAAAATAGCTGGACTGTGGGTGTGCACACATTAAAAGCAGCAGCATTATCCCAAGAGATATGCCAAATTTGGATGAAGAAACATGATTAATAAGAACTGATATGTAACAAGTGCCTAAAGCTAATATGATATTTCATCTGCTTTCCCGTTTAATCTAACTCTAGGTCATGCGAAGCATAGTAGATTGAGTTATCTACTGCATGCCCTATTCTAGAACAGAACACAACCCAGACTGCTTCAGTAAATAAACTTGTTCTCTTTTTGCTAGCCTTTGTGCTTACAAAATTACAAGTTCTTACCTTGAGCTCATCAAATCGGAGTGTAAAGTGAAGAATTTCTGCAAACTGCTTAGCAAGAGCCTGCTCTCGCTCCAGGTGTTGCGTGGGTGAATACGGAGTGCTTGTCAGGGCTCCCAACAGACCTCGCAATCCTGCCTCTTAAATGAGAGGAGAGTATTTTGCCATATACAACTGCATCTGCTTCCTGTATCTGATACTCTGCATGCTAGACTTAAAATAGACTTCTACCAAAATACATGGTAATTAATAATAAAGACATTTGATGAATTGCTTCACGTATCACTGTTAATGTATTTACTTAAAAAGTGCTGTAAAGACTAGGTCTAATAAGCACTGACAGTCATGAAAAAAAATTACTGAAAAGTTTTATTCAAGCTTCATCTGTGACATTTGTGTAAAACATATTTCAATAACCCGTGTTAGCAGACTGCAGCCTTTAAGATAACACAGAATTCAGGAGCGACATACTTATCAGCAGAAGTGATGTTTTATTTGTTTTTAAGATACATGTATAATCCAACTTCCTGCTTATCTTGAGAAAAATACCCCATCTCTTTAACAAAGCAAACTCACCTGCAAACACCTTCCATTTTTTGAGCTCATTTTTTCATGAGCTATGCTAATAGCTCTGTCTAAAAGTGAGGCAACAACAGATAGTTTGTAAAAAAAAAATCAAGTCTAATAGGTTTTATCAGCTTAGACACAACATCAGTCAAGTTGGTTTTGTAAAAGGCATGAAGTGCCATCTTCATTACTGCAGTTGCATGAACCAAGATCAGGCATTTCCACAGATCAAATTATTTCTGGTGTTTGTGAGAGGGAATAATACAGTCGCTTTTAAGTACTCCTGGTGTCAGAAGCATTAACAGAAATTAGTCCCAATGAGTAAGTCTACTGATTTTCAAAACGATCAGCTGGTTAGCGCTTTTCAGAATCCCTAAAGGGACAGAGAAAGAGGATGACAAGTATGCTCCCATCCTCTCTCTCCTCTCAGATATCCACTCCACTGAAGCAAGTTTGCTTTCACACACAAGAAGGTGGTACACCAACATTAGTAAGGTCCAACCCAGTGTACGGAAGGAATCTATGCACTACGAGCTTTATCTACTAACAAGAGGCTGATCTAGCATGTGATCACATCTGAACATGCCAAATGTACTAATCAAAGAAGACCAAAATCCCAAATGTACTAATTAATGAAGACCAAAAAATCCAAGTTAATACCACTCCACTTACCTAGTCTTTGAGAAAATTCATAGAATTTCTTTAGTTTGCCTACTAGTGGAACAACTGCGCCCCACGCCTTCTCTTGCAGCTTCTCATCATTGGGATGCTGTATTGCCTTAAATTAGAAAAAAAAAAAAAAAAGAAGAAAAAAGTATGCTTAGATTAAGAACAACTGATACATTACAGAGAGGAAAAGGCAAAAAAAAAAAATCTATGCAGGGCAATTGTCTGAAGAGCTAGCAACAACAAATTCTACCGAGAAGTTTCCAGTTGAGACACAAGCCTGTACTAACCCACGTCTGTTCCAAAGCTCTAAATACTTCCATTGAAAATAAATATCCTGAATAGGAAAACAAATTCAAGAGGGAATAAAGAAATTGTTAAAAATAAAGCCCTCAAATAAGAAAATTTACATAACCAGATCTAGTTAATTAAAATCAACAACTTTACTGGAGCACCTCCAAGCAAAAAAAGTTTAGTGATCAAAGCCTCATCCTGATGTTGGTATCTATCACCAATTTCTGATTTTGCAAAGAAAAAACCCTCAAATAGATTTGCTGGGAAATTCAGGCTAAATATTACAGCCTAATCAACAACACAAAGCACCACCAAGACAGGGTGTATAGCAGAGCTCTGAGATGTGTATATATATACACACATATAGATAGACCTTGTCTTTATAGTAAGCTTCCTGGACAGATATGGCTTTAGATTCGATCCCTCCAGGCTTCTGCCTTAAAACGAAACTACTTAGTAACTGAAAATAGACTAAGAAAACAGAAATAAAAACGCTCGTAACTCTCCTGCTGCATCTTCATGGTCAAGTCCTTGATTCCAAAATCTGTTTCAGTTAACCCAGGGCTGTTGGTCGCAGCACACTCGTCTCTGGTCCCTACAAAGTTTCATTCCTGCAGTGTCTACTCGTTCTCAGACGCGTGTCTCTTCTATCTCCACAGGAGCTGCAGGCTTCCTTGCTGAGACACACATTCATGTCTGATCCTACAGCTTCTCCCTGAACGTGCTCCTTCCTTGAGGAGTAAGCAAGCTATCTCCCCTCCAAAGGGTTTTGTGTGACACAGTTACTCTTCTTAAGCCTACTTAATGAATTTAAAAAGAAAAACTCATGGTATTTTAATTACAGTTGAATGGCTATGAGTACAGTATTTCCAATTCATCTGGAGTGAGCAGAGGCTCCTCCTATCTAATAGTATTTCTTAGGGCATGTTACAGTGAATAACTCCTCACTTTGGGAGCAAAGCAGCCCCCATTGCTGCATCTGAGGAAGAAAGGGAGAGGGCTGAGGGAGTTACTTATTCTACTCTTTCTTAAAAGTAAAGGAAAAATGGAGTGACATGCTGTACAGAAACTTTGTTTCTGTTCCAAACATCTACTTTAGTAAATAAAAGGCAATTAAAAGGGATTGAAAATGAGATGCCTTTTGTGTTAGGATTACCACACATCAGACTTCTCCAATTAACGTCCAAAAAGATGTTGACGCTACTCAATATCGCCTTGTAGTCACGCCATGCTCTTTCCAAATTCATCAGTAACTCAAGAAGAGCTTATGTGGGAATATAAAGAAAAATCAATAGCAATAATTCCATAAAAAGTTTGAGAAGTATCATTTGCTGTTACATATGTGCATTAATATTATTGAAACAAGCGACACCTGTTTTGCTGTTAAAAAGGAACATTCCAGAGCAGAAATTCAAGACAGTAATTTTAATAGACAACATGCTCTGTCAAAACAGCTCCTGCAAGCAAAGTTAAAATCCAGCAGTATTTGTTAGGATCAGACAACGAACCACCACAGGTTGTGCACAATCATAACGCTCTAGCTCACCTCTCGTATTTCATGGCCAGCTCCTCTATATGACTGCAAGTCTTCCAGTATTCCTTCTGCATCCTTTAACACTACATTCACCTGATTATAAATTTCCTTTTCAGATTCTGTAGGTTGGGCATCTAAACAGTAGAACATATTAAATATATATATATTTAACAACAATATGGAATTCAATAGGCACACCGTCACCTGCGGGACAAATTTTTCATGCAGCAACTCATCAAGAATTTTTATTCTCTGAAGAGTTACTACAACGTATGAGACACTCCAGGAGAGTGATTGTATTCATTGCAGTAGTCTTTTAGCTTCATTCAGCATCCCAAAAATCCACCTAGAATTTAACCTTTCCTGACTTATTTAAAATTGAGTTAGGAGAAATCCCAACCAGTCGTCTTTATGACTATCGCATCATCTCACCTCTGGGTGCAGCACAAGCTCAATGGAAGAGCCGTAGGTAAGCACTCAAAAGACACACTCACTGCAGTTATTACAGGAGGTGGTCACGTCTATTGTTATCTAGAAACATTGTATCAGATATCAGATGGTTTTCCATCTTCCCTCTCTCCCTTCTACTGGTTGGGAAAGGAGCCGTATCTTCCACTTCTAAATATATTTAACTCTCAAAACATATTCTTTTTTGCAATTGCAAAAGATCTAGTGTAAACTTGTGTGGGTTTTGTTTCTTTGTTGTTTTTTTGTTTGTTTGTTTTTCTCCCCCTCTCTTTAAGAATATATTGTCTCCCAGTTTTTCTATAATTAGCAAAAGACTTTCCAAAATTATATTTGAGCATCACTTCAAAAATCACATCATATCATAAACATACATGTTTAAAGAAACGTGATTCAATATGAAGTATGTTTTGAGAAGACTCAACAAAAAGCTTTAACCTTTAAAAATAATCACCAAGTACACATATCTCGGACCTGGTTTACCTGATATGAAATCAATTTTTCTTTTAAAATTCTGATGGAAGCTATAAGGTCAGCTCCTTTTAGATTGATACAAAAAATAAATTAGTTACTGAAGCTCTTACAAAAAAAACCCCAAAATCTCCTCTGTTTTCATAGGCAAAACACGTTATGAAATAAATATGACATTTTAATCCTGGATCTCTAGTATCAAAAGTGAGAGTATTAACAAATACTCTTAAAGACTCTTTTTTCTAAGGACAAACAAAAGCTATCTGTGGACAATGTATCCTCATGATTTTGTGCTTTTTAAAGAGTCTGGAAAATATCTTTTTTAAAGTGCTTTTTCCACGATCCATATGTACAACTCCCACTTAATAGTGATGGCAGTTGAGTACATACTTACATTAAAACAAAAACAAACAAAAAAATCACAGTATCCTAGTGCTACGCACTAGCAAAAAACATTAGAAAACAAAGTTTGTATTAGGAGAAAGTAAGTTTCATATGCATTGCCTGTCTGGATTTTGCTGTAAGTTTTACATAATACTTTCATTTTTAATGGTTTAATGCATAGTGGGCATTATTAGCAAATATGCCTATATAGAGACCTTGTAATAGTTTAACTGTGATACTTTGAGAACCACCAAGAATTAGTACGGGTAAAAAAAAAGTATAAGAGCATCACACTGATTAGGCATCGAGTAAAAGTGGCCAGTGCTTTTCAGATCGTCACAAAGATCATGTTTATAATTTCGAAAGCTGCTGAAGACTGCTGTAAGAAATGGAGACAAAAAATGAGGGAAAACAGCAGACAAGTAAGCACCAGTTGGCTGGCAGCAGTTCATGCACAAACATGAAATGCTGTAGTGAAACACAGACCAAAAACATGAAGCTCTGTAGCATTCCAGATTGTGTTGTTAAATAATGCAATCAAGACTTGTCACTCGCATCATCTCACACTGAGCACATCTCTTGCCTATTTAATTTTTCATGCCATTTTTTCTTTACCCTCTCTAGTAAGCAGAGTTCATTTTTCAGCATGGGGTGGGTACAGCAGAAGGGCCCATGAGAACTCCTCTTCCTCGTTTTGAAACTCACCAACAAGCAGAACAGATGTAGTACTATGACCTTCCAAGTTTAAAAACTAAAATCATCATCTGTATTCAAATTACACGGTCTTCACTGAACAGCTGGCTATGCAAGTCAACACCTTCAACACCTCTGTTAGCATGTTTCACTTAGGATGTAATCGCCCAACTACTGGACTTCATTTACCTAAAATGATCCAGGAAACTTAAAATCATGATTTATAATTAATTTTTTGGGTTTTTTTTTTCATTTTTCTGCTTGTTTGTTTTGATAATAACAAACTTATAAATATACATGTTTTAAAATCCAGTAGGCATTGGATTATTTCTTTCAGTATGTGTTTCATTTTGACGCACCTAGTCCTCTCCAATACAAGAAACCTGTAAACTTGATTTGTTCCAACTAAGTTCCTCTCCCATCTGTAATTCTTCTGCATTTAGAAAAGAGCTCAAATTTAAAAAATAAACCTAAATTCTTTTATGTTTACTTCATAATACATTTAGGATGTATTAGGACAGATATAAAAGCCACAATATAGAAAATCTTCACGCCCTAGTGCCTCCTGGCTCAGAGTAATTGGTTCATTTGCTTCTCAGTGTAGGTTAGAGTATTGTCCTCTGAAAGCCTCTCACAGATGGAGAAAGAGGAAAAGGTCCCTCTTCCTAAACTCTGTCGTAATCTATCAGTATGTACCTGAGGACTCAAGCTACGGGACTTTCACTTGAGAATCACTAATTGTGGTACTCATTTTCCTCACTGCGGAGTGCACATGGCAAGAAAGGGAGCTGTACTACTCAAATTAGTCTTGACAACTACAAAAAAGCAACCAGCAATGCTAAGTATCCAAACAGCAGGACGAAGGCGGCATATAATTCCTCTTTCCCCTTCCATGGACATGAGCTCCTGCTACAACTTCACAACAAGGCTTTGCCTTTACCTGGCCACGTTTTCCACAGAACGAACCAATATGGTAATTTAGACAGCACAGCTCACTGAGGTGTCCTGAAGTTTGATATTGTTGCCAAGGGAGTCGAACCCTGGTTATTTAGGGCAACTTTCCCATTTTTAATCCAATAATAAGAAAAGCAAAGACTGAAGTCCCTCACGTAAGGGGAAGTTAATCTTTAAAATAACTTGAAATTTCAGCAGAACGTTATTGCACTAGATGCAATACACAGAGTTCAGGACGCTCACACAGTTACATACTAAAGACAAAAAGCGCAGACTTTTACAATATACACACGCTGCTATGTGAGCTAAATGTTATGGAAGTATGACAACATATTGCATGGGGGGAACACGCACATTTAGTGACTATTTAAAAAAATATTTGGCTAGTCTACAGAACTAGTAGAGAGAAATTTGGGGTTAGAAGTGTATACTGCACAGCAAGCACTATTTAAACTGAGATTTTTTCCCTGGGAAGAACACATCTGAAACTGGCTCGGACAAAACTCCAAGCACGGGGGGAAAAATCCCAGACTGCTGAAGATGAAATAATTTATTCATCTTTATCATCATTACTACGGAGTATGCTCTTTGTGGCTCCTCTGAAACCTAGCCAAGCTCTTTGGAGGTTAACGCAGAATACTTTAAGCACTAGCTTGAGATCACCATCTGCAACCAAAAGTACTCTGCATTTTAGCTACTATTCAAATCAGTAAATTTGGAAAGGATTTGCACTGTGACAGTAAAAACACCAACTTAAAAGTTGAGCTGTAAGTTTCTCACGTTGTGGAGGGCTGTTTAACATTAACAATATTGTCCTTACAAAGCTGTGCGTTTTCCTCTGCTCATGTTAAGTATTCTTCTAGAGTCTTTGCAGGGTCACTTTAAGACAGCTATTTGTTTCAAATAGCTAAGGTGAATGACCACAGACAACACAAACTTAACCAGCATTAAGGCAAGGAAAAGCCAACAGCCCATTATCTCATTTATCAGGACATTTTTTGCATGTACTCTGATAGTCACACAAATTGCTGAAATCTAGCACCAAGATAAATACCTGAAAAAAAAAATCTTAGAAACTAGTCTAAAACTTTTCTAAATTTGGAGTTTGTGTTCCTATAAAGCTTTATGGACACTAGATTTTTAGCTCTTTATGGTATCGTGCAAGAAACATTCGACAAGCCTGCTCACTCCAAAGACATATATGGATTTAAGAACAAAAGACTTCAAACGGTGTATTACTGGGCCAGGCGTGACATAGAATTGGCAAATTTGTTTGTAATACAGAGCTTACTCGTTCTTCCACATAAAAACACCATGTTAAGTACGACAAGATTAAGTGCCAAGTCTTGAAGAAAGATCTTGACTGTGTCAAAGCCAAGATCCTGTCAAGGCAAGCTATCTGAAACAGAGTAGAAAGCAGCACGGATACACAGTACAGCAGCTGAAACAAACGCAGGACAAGGTCCAAATGAACAGAGAACAGCCTAACAATTCAGCCATAATGTAAGTCACTTAATTTGGCTCTGTATGTAAACATTTCATGTCAGCAACCTGCTTACTCTCATGCCAAATCTTGTTCATGCTCAAAACATGCAATTTAAAACAAAATTGATAGCTTAAAAAAAAAAAATCAATGTTTTCTAAAAATAGCAGTAATTTTTATTGCAATTGATATTAGAATTATGTTTCTTGTGTCCAGCTAAATATAATTTTAGTCCAATTAAATGATCAGTATTTGCAGATTAAGATGGAGCTCTATAACTCCAACATTCTCCCGTTATCAGTTCCCCCTACTTCATTAAGTCATGTGAGATCTCAAGTGGTTTTAAACAAGCTTTGCTTTCTGATTTTTGAACATAGATAGCCCTTCATTATCTTCCTTTTATGAATAATCTGTATGGCTACCATCTTCCAATAACAATATATTCAGAAGAGACAACTGATAAAATCAACAGTACACGATAAAGGTTTAGAAAAGTTCTAACTTTAAACATCATGAAAGTAAAACCATATTTCTCTAAGCATTCACTTTCACGTTAGAACTAAGATAACCAATTGGTACAGTTTCAAATACAACTGAAAAATAATTTGGGGGAAGAAAAGAAGATACAATGAGTCTCAAATTATCCATATCATAATACTTCCTCAATTTTTTTGTTATGCTATTCCATTGTATTTTATTACACAGTCAAAACGCACTTGAAGATTAGTTTTCTTATTTTATGCTTGCTAAAGTGCAGCTAGGTAAAGCAACAGCGTATCCCAAAAGTAAGTAATTAAACATGCATAGCAGCAGCCACCAACACTTACCTGCCATTCTTAGGCTATACTGTATCATGCAAGAAAAACTACAAGCAGAAATATTAACAATATGTGAACCTTCTACAACGCTTGGCATTGATCAGACAAGCTATACGCCTCTTCTTTCCACAAGCAATTTCGTTTCTATATTCTCAAAGTCCTCCTTTTAAGGAGGGATGAGGTTAACTGTCAAATTTCAATGCCAAATCAAGTAAGGTTCACATATACACCTTCAAAGTGATGATGTTGGAGAGCTATGAATAGCTGTTGTGAGCCAATCTGTACGTGCAGCATCATTCAGTGGCACACTGGAAGTGAAGACAATCAGGTTTCATGTTCAGTCCTGCCTTTAAGGTGCATGTATCGCCTTGCAATTCCAGCAAGTCTTCTAATAATTCAAATTCTTTTTAAAGTTTTGATTAAAAGCAAATTAATTAATTTTGGTTTAAAACTAGAACCATATCAGATTCCAACAGTAAAATATAATTTTAAAGCCTATCCTGAGATAAAGATTTTACTTTAGAAACTGAAGTTGTTTTAAAACAGATTATTGCTTTTTTACAAAAGTTCACTGAACAATTATCCATAGCTCAGGCATGCAAAGCTTTTGGAAGGATGGCAAAATGAGAACACACATTTAGTACACGACAAATGCAGTCTACTGCAGGCAAAGAGTAATAGATATATAAAATCATCTTCTCACTTTCAAAATCAAGGAAAAAATTTGGCCCCTGCTCAAGGTCTGTGCATGTCAAAACTTTTAGAAGGTTCCCCATGTTAAGGTACCTGCCAAGACAAGAATGAGAGAAAAGAAAATTTTCTTTTTATAAGAAGAAACAGCCCAAATATAGTTGATTGAAGCAGTGAGGGAAAGAAGACCAGAGAGTTCCATCAGGCACGAACCCGTCCTTCAGGCTGCTGTCCTGATGGATGGAGGGAGTCCCCCACCTCAGGGACGTACAGCTGGTGATCCCAGAGATGCAATGCAGCTTTCCTGTAAGAAGTGACTACATCACCAAAGTCTTCGCAGCTGCCCCTTCGGGGCAGAAAAGGGCAGAACTCCAACTGAAGGCCTTGCCAGTGACTAATTCTGTCCCAGTACACCCTAGCACCAGTGTCCTGAGCAGGAGTACCACATTGAGGGCCAAGCACCATATTTTGCCAGCACTGAATGGTAGCCATGCTACAGATTTTTACCTGATGGGACAACAGAAGGAAAGAGCTTTATTTTGTCAGCCCTTATAATTTTGTCAGAAAGCCATTGTAGGAAAAAAAAAAATGCATCAAGATACATCATTTCAGTGTGCAGAAAATGGTAACACAGGTATGCCACAGACCTTTCACACAAGGCGCCCAAAACATCTGTGAAGCTCAGACAATTCCACTTAGGACTTCTGGATGTAAGAAAAATGCACATTACCTGCACCATGAATGACCAAACCAGGATCAGAAATGATTTAGTACTTTGCAGAGGATAGGATCACAGGGAACAACTGCTCAGCACAGATTACTATGGCATACTGACAGAATTTTTCGTTTTATGATTACTTGATTTGCAGGCAGATGGATGGACATCACTGACCACAGAGACCCAAAATGATTAAACACAAGGAAAGAAAATTTACACAGTAGCATGATGGTGGCTTGGCTACTACTAGAGGCGGGGAAAAAAAAAGAGGAATGGAAAAAACACATGCAACTTTTTCAAATTGCAGATTTGCAACTGAGCCCCCTAGCCTTCACTGCAGCAGGTATAAGCAACCCTACTGTTACCATTTTAAATGCACCAGCTGTGAAGGGCTGAGAGACTTACTTTCAAAATCCAAGAAAAAATGTGCTGCATTGTGGTCTATGTCCCTGGTTAGCACCTTAATGAGATTACCCATGCCAGCAAACCTAAAAATAAAAATGGCACAATAATTTAGTTCCAATAACCATTTTTTATTTTAAGTACATGCCTGGGGCTCACTGGAGCAGGGCTCCCATTGGGTTTCGCACACTGGATTCATCATCTTTTGGTGGGAAGTAGAAAACACGCACTGTACAGCGCATTTCCACTTCCCTTCTTCTCAGGGAGGAGTGATATGACAAAAATAAAGCTCTGAATTCCTGGCTCTTTTTTGTCTTTGTTTAATACATTTAAAGAAAATGTTACCTACAACGACTGAGCAATTGTTTTGCTTAACTGCAGCAATCCACAGCCAAAGTTGTTATCACTTAGGACAAAGGCAACCTCAAATAGAACTGATGTCATCAAAAGTCTGATTTTTTTTTTTTTTTTTTTACTATCTCTCCATAATCCAAAACAAATTTCAGAAAGGCTCTTAGTGGTAGTCATCTGTGGCCAATGAACAGTTTTTCCCCCGTCAAATCACGTAAAGTCATCAGTTAAACAAAAGTTAGACTTTTCCAAAACCGGGAGATAATCAAGTTTCAACAGTTCTTCTTATGCTTGTTGTCACATTCCAGCTAAAAAAAAAAATGAAGAAAGTGGAAGAAAAATTAAATAGTCATTAGATTACTCAAGGTCAGATAAATTAACGAAACAGTTTCAAATGTTACAATAAGTTTCAGAAATTAATACCTTCAGTAGCACTATGAAAATTACATTTCATAATAAGACAGCCTTTTCAAGGACCCTCAAGTATTTTACAAAGGCCGAAAACATACTTAAGAACTGCTGCCCTGAAATACAAGGGTTTACTAGAGCACTGCTGCAAAACAAACACAAGACACTATCCAGAAATCTGATTTCAAATTATTTAAGTCATCAACAGCCGGACGGACATTTGGATTCAAGTGTAAAATCTAAAAAAGCCATGTTTCAAATTAGTGCAACTAAAGCAATGTATGCTCTTCTTTCCCCCTTGATTTTGACTTTTACTGAAGACCGATGTTTACTTAGAGGGAGGCAGCAGGACAGTAAGATTCGTTAATTTATTAGGAATTAAGAAACCTGAAGCAATGTGAAGTCAAAACAAATTGCCTGGCAAAACAGATTTTCAGAACCTGTGTTGACATTGAAAGATTTCTGGAGTTCCATAAGAAAAATGCAACTGGTATGTGAGGGAAAAGCAAACTAAGATCAGCATGTGATTTATTTTTCAGGATCCACAAGATTCAGTAATAACTCACACAATCAACGAAAGCCAGAGAAGGGAGGGGGAATTAATCCCAGATTGTTGAAAATTACTCAGGTTTTGCTCCAACAATTTCGACAGAATGACTAAACAATCTAGATTTTTAGAAAAGCAACTTTGAGTGTAATCCAGCTGATCACAGTGGATTCTCCACATAGAACTTCATCACTAGGTGTGCACTTGCTTTTTTGCAACTCAACTTTGTCCTTGAAACTCAAGAAAATGCAAGTCCTGCTTCCTAAGCACTTGAATTTAGTTCTCTGGAAAGTCAGATCAGATTTCTCAGCCTATGAGAAACACCCACTATTTAAGGAAGTTTTAAATTAGAGTTTAGAAACTTTTCTTAAAAACTAATCCATCAAAACACAGCTTAGTGAACTTTTCAAATGGTACACGTGCATCAATGCTGTGCGAACAAGCAACACCAGAAAGCAGAGGAATTACTTTTCCATATCTCACAAGCATGTTCTGTGACACAGGACTGAATAAGCCACTTGGTTCACTCTCCAACAATGAGGACATTCATAATCTGGAAAAAGCTGAAATAGAGACATTCTTAAACAAATATTTCCAATAGAGGTGAGTGATAAAAAGCCAAGAGGACAAATTGCCTAATGGTGATAGAGTCTGTAGATTCAGTTTTGAAAACCAAACCCCAATCTCAGAACAGTCTACAACATATTTCAGTTCCAACATTAACAAGCAAGTGGCAAACACACAGCTGTGAACGGTGTCAACTGCCTGAAGAGAACTAATACCTGCAGTTACTGCCATGCTTCAGCTCTTCAGCTGCACCATCCCCTCCTCCACCAAAATATTTTCAATACCCCAAGTAAATGCCTCTGTGTAGGTTTTGCCTTTGTTTTGATATTAACCAGTCTCCTAAGAGTTTACAGGGTCATGCATGTGGTTTAGATAGTGGATAATATTACTTCTAAAGGTCAAGAGAGGGGCGTTCTTATAGGGTTGAAATATTTTGAAGATGAGTTTACAGAAGAGCATATAACCACTGCAGAACAGATTATTTAACTGAACTCCTACCACTTCCTAAAATGAATAAGGGGTCAGGGATTCAGTTCTGCAATACAAATACCATCGTTCAGACCTTCATCCCTCAGAAAAGTTTGCTAATAAGAATAAATGGTTTCTTTTCTAGGATTGAGTTTAACAGAGAAGCAAAATAAAAGGTTTGGGCACTACAATGAAACAGTAAGTATGAAACAAATTCAAGCAGAAGATGCAACTGACCTAATGGTACCAGTTCAGTGAACAGCCTCTCTGAGAAAAGGAGAGAAACCAAAGATGATGAGAACAGATTAACTCAACTACAACAGCAACAAGATGACAACATGTGATATAGGAATACATTGCAATTCATGTGAATGCACAGCTGCATGAACACTTGTTCGTAATGAAGTCCCTAACAGACCTGTTCCCTTGTGCATTCCGCATACTGAAAAGATCTTGACAAACTTTAGTCATGTCACAGTTTCGCATACAAGATACGTGATCACATTTGCTTTCTTAGCAGCAAAACATTCACTGTATATTCAGGTTTTATGGAGTGCATGGAAGTCTAGCAGAAGCTGGACAAAACATAGTATTTTCAAAACTTTATCAAGATGAACTCTCAGCGGTTACTCAAAGATCTCAAGTATTGCTTAATACCAGGAGATTTGTCGTGTTTTAAGAAGTGTGAAAGTGATCATTCCTCCAAGTTGCAAATCAAACAAGAAGCTACAAAGAGAGCTTGAAAACTCAAGTTAGACAGAAGTTGCAAAGCTATAATTGATCTAGCAATTCTTAGGAGGACACTTTCTCTCTCCTTAGCATTCAAAGGAATGAATGCAAGATCCAACAGACAGAAATTTACTCTTCCAGTGAGGCTAAGCACCAGCTTCTCAAGCTCTGAAACGGCCTTCTAGAAACAAGATTGTGGTGTCACACACAGCGTGGAACTTCCCAGATGCATGGAAGCAGCTGAAGGTCAACATGCCATAGCTCAGGTTAGAAGGCTCTACACTTCTGTACATTATTTTCCTTCAAAAGGTATAGCTAAGCAGCAAGAAGAGCTGATCTGTTGCACTCAGGTGGAACCCTATATAGAGATGAAAATGAAAACTGACCTTTCTGAGAGGCTGCTACGTCAGCAGAATACCTGGATCAATCTAGAGTAAAGCAACCTAGCTCAGAGATGCCTCAGGCTCCTGACAGATCCAGGTTGACTACTGGTTCTTGTTTTGTTCAAGATGGCTTGTCATTTGCATTCCTTCTGGGCCCAAAACACGTGAAAGAAGGTCCACTACTGGCTCCAATATTAAAGATGATGATAATCTATGTGCAGTAGAAGAAACAGTCTACAAAACTAGCCAGTACAGCTATCTTCGGGGACCTCTTCTGCTATTTGATGCCCTGTAAAAGCATCACCAGTGTGTTAGATTTTGGTAGCTCTATGAAGACTTATGTTGGTAATTAACCACCACAGTGTCATGCCCAGTCAGTACTGATTTACCAAGCACTCTTCCAATTTCCTTGAAAGTCCACAACTTCAGCTGAAGTAAGGAGAACTGCTGCTTTAGGAAGTCAGATGTGGTTCCAATTAACTAGCCCTGATGTTGAGCTATCATTGTCTAGTCAAGGACATCT